AAACTTCATGCTTATAATGAAATTATGCAAAATTGTTTGACATGCCATGAGAATAAAATTAAATTTTACATAGAGTGATAGTTAAAATATCGCATTTGCAAAATCGTATGACCAGCAAACAAATTTTCTTGGCATTTACCTTTTCTTGGTAAAAGTTAAGTGTGTACCATTTAAAGACTAGCACAAAAGATAATATCCAAGGAGTCAGAACTCTGTACCTCTAAAATTTAGTTTTCCAGGGTATACTTTGTAATATGGAAAACTCTTCATTAAGAAAGCATATGAGCCAGGGCAGTGTGGCTCAGCGGTAAGCACCAAACCAAGAACCAAAGGGCAACTGGTTGGATTCTAGGTCAAGGCACATGTCCAGGTATTGTCCTCAATTCCCAATAAGGCTCATGGAGGAGGCAGCCCATCAGTGTTTCTCTCTATATATCACTTTACCTTCCACACTCTCTAAAAAAAAAATCAATAAAAATACATTTTAAAAAAACAAAGAATAGAAACCACATGAAAAATAGGAATATATTCTAGGTAAAGCAGACTTGAGCTTCTTATACTTTTATATGAAAACAAAGCAAGAGGTGAATTTGAGTACTGGACTTGGGAATCCTAAAACTCGGATTCCTAAAGCACAGTCAGTACCTTTGGTAGAACAACATCTAGTCTTCTGCCTCTTCCCACTCTAGCAGGAAATTTGGTTCTTGTTTATTCATCACATCAACATTTATTGTACTGGCGATAAGTTATATTTATTGTGCACTTTTTGTATGTCAATATAATATGGTAGGCAGTCTCAGGCAGTTTTTTTCCTTGTTTTCCTAGACGTGTTTCGGGATTGTTGTGGGGAACAATCTTTCTGTGATTTTAGGCTGTTCCTTTCCTGGGCCTTGACTAGAGAGAGAGCCCACTCTTCTTGGGGCATCTTTTGAGTGTGAATCTCATGGCTCTGCAGTTCAAAGTTTCTCTCATCATCTGGGAGAAAAAGAAACCCAAGCAATTCACAGCCATGTTGCTCATTCAGTTCCTACATCCCCAGCTGATTGGACTTCTCCTCTGTCGCTCATAGTCTTCTTAAATTTGTTTCTGTAATTTATCCAGAAGTTGTATTTCTATTTAGGAGAGGGAGTAAGAAGCAGTCTTCTTAGTCCATCATTCTGAAACAGGAAGNGGAGAGGGAGTAGGAAGCAGTCTTCTTAGTCCATCGTTCTGAAACAGGAAGTTATTTTGCTCCTTGTTATTTCTTCAAATTTGTTTCTTAAATTTTTGCAAGGAGTTTGATTTACTTTTAAATTTTTAAATAATTTTTTCATTCTTTTTGTTTTTTATAGAGAGGAAGGAAGAGAGAAAGAGAGAGGGAGAAACATCAATGTGAGAGAGAAAAATCAATTGGTTGCCTCCTGCACACAACCCAATCAGGGATGGAACCAGAAACCTGGGTATGGGCCCTGACCTGAATTCAAACCCTCAGCCTTTTGGTGAATGGGATCTTGCTCCAACCAACTGAGCACACTGGCCAGGGCACAAAGNGGATCTTGCTCCAACCAACTGAGCACACTGGCCAGGGCACAGTTTGTTTGCTTGTTTGTTTTTAATGGAAATAAAAATTAAATACCTAGAGTCCCAAGAACCATTGCAATAGGCTGTATGAGAGTACACGGAACCTTCTGTGACCATGAACTATGTGTCTGCCAAGAATTAGTCCTTATAAAAAATAGTTTTACACCAAAATGTGGAAAAACAAATGTAGTTCTTTCTGGCTTACGGGACTTTCACTCTGCCATCAATGCAAGGGCTGCAAAACCTTGTGATTCCCACTTTACATGATTAGAATTTCTCCAGTGAATCCTTTCTTTCCTCAGAAGCACACAATTTTTTAAAAATATATATTTATTGATTTCAGAGAGAGAAAGGGAGAAGGAGAGAGATAGAAACATCAATGATGAGGAAGTCACTGATCAGCTGCCTCCTGCACATGCCACACTGGGGATGGAGCCCCCAACCCGGTCATGTGCCCTGAGCAGAAATTGAACCTTGAACTACTGGATCCTAGGTGGATGCTCAACTCCTGAGCCTCGCCCAGCTGGGCACACACAAGTCTTTACATTACATATTGTGCTGGATTTGCACATTCCTCTGTGTTCTCTCTGATGGTTTTGTCTCAATATATCAAATAATATTTCTAGATGCTGAAAGAAAATGTGGGCCCCCTCCTCATATTGACAGTGGAGACATCACCATTCTTCCATTAGTAGTCTATGCCCTGGGGTCTTCAGTGGAGAATCAATGCCAGTCCTACTATGTACTTCAGAGAAACAGGAAAATAACATGTTCTGATGGCACTTGGTCAGAACCACCAAAATGCTTACATAGGTCCTTTCATATTCTCCTGGATTCTGAGAAAATCTGTGTATTTTGCTGTTTATGATCAAATTTTGATCAAATAATAAATGATTCTACTGAATTCTTGAATCCCACTTATTAATATGTGAAGAAATAAAGTTTGAAAATCTCTTAATCAAGCAAGAACCTGAACAAAAGATTCTTTAATGTAAGCTCTTCATATTATTGGCATTATGAACTTCAGTTATAACATTGGATGATCACACTTTACACATAGTACCTCATTTTTGCATCATTAATAATTTTAAATGGCTTACATCTGCTTGATGGCTTTTTGTTGTTGTTGTTTGGGTTTTTGTTTTTGTTTTTTTAATTTATTTTATTGTTGAGGGTATTACAGATATCCCCATTTTTCCCTTTGTCCCTCTTCACCTGGGTCCCAACACAGGTCTTCCCCTGTCTGTTGTCTGTGTCCATGGGCTATGCATATATGCATGTAAGTGCTTTGATGAATCTCTTCCAGACCTCCCTCCTACCTTTCAATGAGTTGGTTTGGAAAGTGATTGAGAATAAATTCATGGATCTGTGTAGAAGATTCTACATGAAAGTCTAAAATTTTATGGAAAATAGTTGTATATTTCTTAACATTTCATATTCTTTTTTTTACAGCTTCAGCTATATGCGTAGTAAAAGAAGAAACCTTGAAAAAATATAACATACATTTTAAATGGTCAGGTGAGAAAATATTGTATTCTACATCAGGAGATCATGTTGAATTTGTCTGTCGACCTGGATATGATAATGTGTCACCACTGTCTGCATTTCGAGTACAATGCGTGGATGGGGAAATGGAATATCCCACTTGTGCATAAAATGATAGTTATATGGCAGTCTTAAAATTAAAATATTTACATTTACTTAGAATGTTTTATTATTAATCTAATTCTTCTCAACTTAATTTTCAAGAATGGTTGAACTCATCTTTATTCATTAATCAGATTTTGTGTTAAGTGCTATGTGGAAAATGTCATTTTAATCTAAGAGACCAATGGATCACTTCTCAAAAGCAGCTCATTAAAATGTGACAAACCAAATGCTCTGTGTTCTCTTCATGAAACATCAATGACCAGAAATGACTTTAATGTCTGCCTCTATCCCTCATTCATTATATTTCAATTTCAGATGAGTGGAAATATACCCTATTAACATCTTTGCAAAAGGCATTTTCTCTCAAGAAAATGTCTGTGATTTCCATCCAAGCTGTTGTGTGTAACTGTAGTAGGTCATCCATTTTATTGCCAGGCTGTACCCATGGACCAGACAAAACAAAAAATAGTCGTCCATTCTCCCGATGCCGACCATTAGCTATTATAAAACATCTGCTAATGAGAGACCTAGTTTATAAGCTTTGATGGAAATATACACTTATTTCTTTTAAAAACTGACCTCACCTGCGTGTGAAATCACTTGCCAAAGAATTTCTGAGAGTGATAGAACCATTTCAGTCTTCCTGCAGTAAAGCATGAAAGACCCAGGTAATCCTGATAACTACAAAACTATGGAAATGTAAGAATTTTAATGTGTAGTTATATTCAATGTGTTTCTGTTTGACTAAAATGTGTATTGATACTGAAGAGATCATGTATCGTTTTCTTAGGTGATTTTTGTAATTTTTAAGTTTGGTTGCTTATTTTTTCTATTGCTTTATGAATTGGCTTTATATGTAATATGTATGAGTCATTGATCCAATATATACATTTCACATGTCTCTTCCATACCCCAGGCTTTTTTGGGGGGGAGGGGGAATGATCTTTTGGATGCATTAGAAATTTAGATGATTACTGAAATCCAATATGTACTTCATTAAAAAGTATTGCTCTAGCACAAATGACTGAAGATAAAAGACTATTTTTTAGGACTATGATCCTACTTTGACTTATTTATTTTGTATGAGAGCCAGGCCAAGGTTTCATGTTTTTGACTGTACTGTATAAGTCCAATTGTTACCTGACCATTTCCTAGGAAAAATTTTATTTCCCCAACTCAATTACATTGGTGCAGGAAACAAGTGACCTGCATGTGGGTGTGTTTTCTCTGAACTCCCATCTTCCCACAGGTGAATGAGTTTATCATTATGACACTTCCAAACCATGATACAGAATATTTATTATAAATATAGATATTGAGGATTAAAAATCTTCCATTTGTTCTTTTTCAACATTGTTCTGGCCATTCCCACATCAATTTTTGATTCGTGTTGACAATGATTTGTGGTGGAATAAGAGAATTTTACTAGGGTCATATTCAAAGCATAAATTAATTAGGGGGAATTGACATCTTAATGATAGTAAGGCTTCTGATCCACAAACATCATGCACTTTATCATTTATTTGTCTTTAAGTTTTTTCTCAATAATGTTTTGCAATTCTCAGGGTAGAAATCTAACAAGCATTTTCTCAAATTATTCTTTTATATTTTTTAAATATTGATAAAGGATAGTTTTCTTTGTTTTTTTAACTTTTCTCATCATTAGTTTATTTTTTAATTAGGGGATTGAAAACAGGGGGTTAATTTACTCAGTTATTTTATCAATAAGAAAACAACAGCCAGCTTTTTTTAAGTGATAAAAGGACCTTTGATATCAGGCAATGGATAGCCATCCACAACCCTGTGGCTCAAGCATAAGGAAAAATACAGGCTTCCCTAAGAGAACAGATGAGGGAGCCTGCTCCAGGCACAGCTGCTTCAGGGGTTCTCAGAGCAGCAAGAGCTTCCCTCCATTCTCGAGTCCCTGACAGTCTGTGGTTTGCATGTTTTCTCCTCTGCAACAACCACAGTCAATCGATATGGCAGAGAAACACAGTTAATCAAAGGCCAAGGTTCCTCGGATTCATGATCACAAAGTAAAGGAGAGCTACCCCTCTCCCTGCAGGTTGCAAAGAGCTGAGGAAGAAGGTCCAGGCCCCTGGGGTCATGGGAACCCCGGCTCAAGGCCCTCGCGGTGGGGGGCCAGCCAGCATCCCACCCAGACCCTGGGCTGAGGGGGAAACCACAGAAGACTGCAGCTGCCAGGGCCGCTGGGGCTGGGGCTGGGGCTGGGGCTGGGGCTGGGGCGCGCCTTTGTCTTGGGGGAAGCTGCCCAGCCTAGAAGCAGCCTCGGGCGTTGCGGGGGCCACGCGGTCGGGACCCGGACAGACCCCCCGGGACGGACCAGGCGCTGCCCGGGGGCTTAGACACACTGTTGCCACCCGAGAGCAGAGGCCCCCACACTTGCTGCTCCCACTGTCAGGCACGGTGTGGAAATGCAGGTGCTGCGGGCAGTCGACATTGGAGCACAGTGTTTGGAGCCCGAATCCCCACCGATTCCTTAAGCGAGTATAGGCTGAAACTCAGAAACTCGGCCCCTGGCGCCGCTGGGGTGGCTGCGCCGGCTGCGCCCTGTCCTGCCGGCCACACCCCCCAGGGGCTCGTGCCCGGCTGGGGGCTGGATCCCCAACGGGGGGCGTGCAGGAGGCAGCCCACTGATGCTATGTCTCGCTCACTGATGTTTCTATCTCATCAAATGTCTCCCTAAAATCAAGCAAATCATGTTTTAAAAAAGGAAAATAGAGAACTAAGCAGATGGCAGCCGCGTCCTCGGACCTCCTCTGGTCTGTGGCGCAGTCACCCAACTGCATCAACACCAACAGACTTCTGAGAAAAAGCACTGCACTATGCCGGCCTCTCTCACTAGGTCCCCTGCAGTCAGAGGTCCTGAGTGCTCAGGCCCCGCTGCCAATGCCTTCCAACTGAGGGCGGGGGTTTTCTTCCAATTTTGTCCCACGTTTTAAGCTGCTTTTTACCTTTTTTAAAGTGATCTTTATTGTTGAAAGTATTACAGATACCCGCCCCCCATTTTTTCCCCATTGATCCCCTCCACCCTGAATCCTCTCCCCCTCCAGGCCTTCACCACACTATTGTCTGTGTCCATGAGTGATGCATATGTGCCTATAAGCTCTTTAATTAATTTCCCCCCAACCACTCCCCCACCCCTGCCTTCCCACTGAGATTCAGCAGTCTGCTCCATGCTTCTATGTCTCTGGGTCTATTTTGTGCCTCAGTCTATTTTGTTTCTTAGATTCCACATATGAGTGAGATCATGTAAAACTCAATCAGGAAGAATCAGAGCTGAATAGGATAATAATAACTGATGAAATAGAAACAATAATAAAAAAAACCCAGTAAACAAAAGCCCTGGTCCGGGAGGCTTCACAGAGGAGCTTTCTAATTCTTTAAGTTGTAGGGTTAGATAGTTTACTAAAAATTTTTCTTGCTTTTTGACATAGGCCTGTGGTGCTATGAACTTCCCTCTTAGGACTGCTTTCACTGTGTCCCATAGATTTGGGGTTGTTGTGTGTTCATCTTCATTTGTTTTCAGGAAGATTTTGATTTCTTTCTTGGTCTTATTGGAGTCCCATTCATTGTTTAATAGCATGCTCTTTAGCCTCCATGTGTTTGAATGTTTTTGAGTGTTTTTACTGTAGTGTTATCTACTGTAGTGTAGATACCATTGGAATCTGAGATGCTTGATATGATTCCAATCTTCAAGAATTTGTAGAGACTTGTTTCACATTTAAGGTTATTATTGATAGATACTTATCTGATGTCATTTTAATTCTTCATGCCTGTTTTTCTCTCTCTTTTTCTACTTCTAAGTACAGCAGTTCCTTAACATTTCTTGCTATGCTGCTTTGGTGGTGACAAATTCCTTTATCTTTTTTTGGGGCCTAGGAAGCTCTTTGTTTCACCATCTGTTTTGAATGCTGGCCTTGCTGGATAGAGTAGTCTTGGTTTCAGATGCTTGTTTTGCATTGCCTTGAATACTTCACGCCATTCTCTTCTGGCCTCTAGTTTCTAATGAGAAGTCAGCTGACAGCCTTATGGGAGCTCCTTTGTTGGTAACAGATTGCTTTTCTCTAGCTGCCTTTAAGTTTCTCTCTTTGTCTTGAATTCTTGGCATTTTAATTATGATGTGTCTGGATGAGGGCCTCTTTGGATCTTCTTACTTGNGTCTTGAATTCTTGGCATTTTAATTATGATGTGTCTGGATGAGGGCCTCTTTGGATCTTCTTGCTTGGGGACTCTCTGTGCCTCCTGAACTTGTGTGACTTTTTCCTCCACCAGGTTAGGGAAGTTTTCTGCCATTATTTCTTGAAAAAGTTCCCTAATGCTTTCTTATTTTCCACCTCTTCTGGCACTCCTATGATGCAAATATTGTTATGTTTCATGTTGTCCCACAGCTCCCTTCAACTATCCTCCTGTTTTTTAATTGCTTTTTCTTTCTGTATCCCTGATTGAGTGATTTTTTTTCTACCCTCATCTTCTAATTCACTGATCTGATCCTCAGTTTCTTCCTCTAATCTGGTGTGTTCATTCCTTTCAATATATCCTTTAATTCTGCTATGTCATTCTTAATTTCCTTCGTAGTTTCCCTATCATCTTGCATGCTATTGAGCATCCTTACAATCAGTATTCTGAACTTTATATCTGATAGCTCGCTTATCTCCATTTTCCTTTAGCTCTTTTTCTGGAGACTTCTCTTGTTCTTTCACTTGGAGCATGTTTACCCCCCCCCCCC